CACACACACACACCACACACACACACCACACACACACCACACACACCTGTGAGGAGACAGGAGACATGGATGTACTCTCCCATCACCTGCCGCTGCCCTCTGACCCTGACTACATTTCACCTAATGCAGTCCAATTTGCACTTTTTAAGAAAAAAAAAAACCAAATCAACTGTACTTTTGTTGAATTAGTTTTTGATTTAGACTATAATTTGCCATTATTGGAACTGCCTTGGACTTTATTAGCCATGCAATGGAAGCATAATATTACCAATTATTCCCAAATTAAGTTACCCTATGAAATATCATACATTCTTAAGGTTTCTGGAAAGAAATGTAATCGATATATTCTGTGCTGCATTTCCCCCACAGACTTTACTGGAACCTTCTAAATTTTCCGCTTTGTCAAGCCAGTGTGATTAGGAGGCCAGGCCGTGAATCTCTCGGTCTGAAGCCATTGGCTGGGCAATAATTCTCACAAATCTCCCACGAGTCCACAGGTCTGGAGCCTCGTTGTATTTTTAGAAACAGCAGGACACACCCAACGAAAGAGGGAAGACAACTGTAGGGTTGCGTTCAGCTCCGGACCCGGCTTGCTGTCCCCGGCTCTGCGTTCTGTCCAGGGCCAGGCAGAGAGGCTGCAGCACATGCTTCATGACTGTTGGGACAGTGCGTGTCCCCAGAGGCCATGGCCGGTGGCAGGAGTCACAGGCTCTGCTGGGAGAGAATTAAATATTTACCCTCTGCAGGGGGTGCAGCTCCCTGCCAATGCTGCCAGGACCAGAGGCCTGCAAGCACTCAGAGGGGGGCAGGCTTGTCCTAACAGCTGGTCCCTGTCAGGGGGGACAGGCAGGGTGTGTGTGTGTGTGTGTGTGTGTGTGTGTGTGTGTGTGCGCGCACACACACAAAGGTTAGTGCCAGGAGGGACTTTAGGGGTCCACCATCAAACCCCTCTGTTCTACTAATGTGTCACTGAAGTTGTGACTACTCAAGTTCAATGCAGCCAAATTCCTTTTCTCCAACTGGTGTCCTAAGTAAATGGATTCATCCTTAAGGAAAGGAAAAAGCGGGATGTTACTAGGCAAAAGGTCTTTCCCCAGGACTTCACGCACACACTCTCCACTCCTTGATTTCTGTTTCCTGAATGTTGCCCAGCCCTCCTGGCCGGGAAGCTCCCGCCTGCCCCTCCACATCCACGCTCCGCCCTCCTCCACCCCATATGGATGGCATCAACGGGGACCTCTGGCTCAGGAGGGAGTTGAAGAACAGGAGGCACGATCAGGAGAGGAGGGGACGGACTGAGAGGCCAGCGTCTTCGTCACCCCAACTCCCTCCCTGCCGGGTCTCCATGGCCCGGCTGTGTCCCTCCACCAGGGGAGGGACCCCCTCCTCTCCTTGCCCTACCAGTCCTGTGGGTGGTAAGAGCTTCTCAGGCCCACGGGTCCTGCCCCACGCCTGCAGCCACCCATCTAGCCTATCCCGTCTGTTTCACCTGCCCCCTGAGCCCTTCCTTACTCTCTGGCCTCTCACCTATCTCTCTGGTCTCTGAACTCTTCGCATACTCAGCTGTTCCACAGACAGGGCTATCTTCCCTCTTTACGCAGGAGGGAGGTTTCTTCCCCAACGACATCACGGACACCTAAATGACAGGTTTCACATACTGACACAGCATCGCCTTTATGCTCTGTGACACCCATTCACCTTTTAGGTCATCAAACTCTGAGGAGCTGGCAACCCAGCTTTAATGACCCCGATGGTTTTCCAAGGTCAGGTACACGCAGGGCAGAGGAAGTCCTTCTATCAAGCTCCCCAATTATCTTTGATGTGTTGACATTACCACTTACGTACTACTCCAGATCATTATGGATGACCTTGACTTCATGGGGCAGGCTTAGAATCTGACAGAGCAACCAGGTCCAAGACCCTGAAAAGGATGGGCCGGTATGGTCTTCCCAGCTAAGCCTTTATGATGTGAGGGATGTTTATTTAAGTAAATCTGCAGCCTCGGTATGGTCTTCCCAGCTAGGCTTTTATGACTCGAGGGATGTTTATTTAAGTAAATCTGCAGCCTGCTCACCATTCATTAGCAAAGAGCCATATCTATCTTCCAGAGGAATCTCCTTGGTCATGACCTTTGGGGATTGACTGCTCTCATTGGCCCCCTTGAGCCTGTGTCAGCTCTCCACACTGCAGAGTGAGAAATGAATTGACCATGTCAGCAAAGCAGCACTTTCAGTCGCGATCTGCTTTGGGATTTGCAGGATTCCTAAATAGAAACTGGCAAATGCACAGACATAACACTGAGAGAAAACACGGATTATGTGTTTGTACAAAAGAGCCCATCCCGGACACATCAAGGTCATTTTCAAGCAGCCAGCTCTAGGTCAGCACTGTCCAGCTGAACTGTCCACGGCCATGAAAACTGTAATATGTACTGTCCAATACAGGAGCCAATAGCCAATGTGGCTATTGAATACAACATGTGACTAGTGCAATTGGGAAGATGAATCTTATACTTTATTTAATTTCTAATAGTTCAAATATAAATAGCCACATGTGGCTACAGTGTTGGACAGCACAGCTCTTGAGAGTTGTTTTCAAATAACGTATCTACCTCTTGTGAAAACGGGCCGGTCTCGCTTTGAGAAACCTCTGGAGTAAGCTACTATAAAACCTTTCATTAGTGACACAGGAAATCTTCCCACAGTCTGATAAATGAAACAATATTTTGAGAGTGATTCAACCAGCACACACTAAATTCGAAAGATTCTATGAAAATTATTTGGCCTTGTGCTTTTGAGTTCAAAACTTAAACTTCTGTTAATGCCACCCCCCCACCGACTCTTCAAATACAACAGAAATATTATTCTTATAGCCAGCAGGTGGCAAATATTCATTATAATTCAATATCTTTCTCAATATTGACCTGTTTGATACCAATATTTACTAAGCAACTACAGAATGTCAGATTCCATAAAGGTCACAAAAGGCTCAAATGATCTGATGTTTGCCTTGTCTTGGGATCTGGGTCCTGTGGTGGCTTGAGGAGAGTCAATTATTAAGTGACGAGTGTGAAATTCACTCATGGAACAGCTCTACGCAAAGGGCTTCCTGCACCTTCTTTCTCCTTGACTTGTACCCATTCAAGGGTGATGGTGGGAGACAGGCTCACACTGGCAGGGAGTCAAGAAGTTATTATATAAATAAGAGTCTCGTTTTGAAGTAGGTGCATTGGCAAATTTTTCCATTAAAAAGGATTCATGGAAAGGTGATATAGCAACAGGTTTTTGAAATTTTGCATTTTAGTTCCACTCCAAAGAAAATAGGCAGCCCATTTCATCACTTTTGGGACACAGTCTTAGAAGAGATGACTTTATTTTTTTTGCAGGATCCTTCAAACCGTGGTGATATTCAAACTATTTGACATCCAGTAAGGCACGAACGCCACCCAATCAGAATAGGTGCTATCTGGGCACCTACCAATCAGAATGGATACCTGCCACAGTCCTGAGTTGTCCAGCAAATACTCCTGGGGTTAGCTGCTGACTCATAGGAGGGGGCACAAGGTAGGGGCTGACTGTGATGTAAGAGCATAAAAGCATTTTATAAATTACGGTCATGTGTAGACTTGTCTACTATTTGATGAGTGTTGAGTAATGAGAAACATTATCTTGATGAACCTGTGTCTTTCACTTAGTAACTTGAAGAAATTCACTAACATCTTAACACATTTTAAAAGTTAAATTCTACTTTGGCAATAGCATGGTTGGGCGTGAGGGATGCTCAGAGCAGTTGCTAAGTACTAACCAACATGGAAATCTGTACCAACCGGTCCAGAGCTCAGCCAAACCATAGTCCTACTTCTAGTTCAAATACGAAGGGATGGGGTGGGCGGTGGAATCCACTGAGATCTACATGAAAAAAAATATATTTGGAAAAGGCAGCAATTTCATTCTTAGTAACATTTATATCAACTTTAAATGAGACAAATGTCCAATAGTTAAAGGCTGATGTAATTTTTTTTTTTTTTACAGACATCTGTTTTGCTTCTTGGAAAATGTTCAATTCCTGGGGATGTATAAAAAAAAAGGTGAAAGGAGTTAAGAAGTACTAGCTGCCAGTTATAAAAATAGTCACAAGGATGTAAAGCACAGCATAGGACATAGAGTCAACAACATTGCAATAACTATGTATGGTGCCAGATGGGTGCTAGACTTATTGGGGTGATCACTTTGTCGGTTATATAAATGTCTGATCACTACATTGTACACCTGAAACTAAAATAATATTGTATGTTAACTGTAACTGAAAAATAAAATAAAACAGATTTAAGAAACATAGTAATCAAATGCAGTGTATGAATCCTGACTTGGATCCTAAAACAAAAAAACCAACTGTAAAAAATAACAAGACAATGAGGAAAATTAAAAAACTGAATCACTATTTGATGATATTAAAGAATTTTTTTCAAATAAAAAAAAGAAAATGCTTGATTCCTAAAAATTATGATTCTGTAAACTACCATCTGAACAGTAATGAGTTACAAAAGGCAATATAAGCTTTTTGGTGTTTTCTCTTTTATTTATAAAGAACACATTACCCATTTCCAGTTTTGTCACGGCATTTGTGGTATGTGAAGTACACCCCATACGAAGCCTAATCCATAAGAGTGAGCCTGATAAGGGATCAGATAAAAATGAGTGTCTTCATGTAAATACCCATTGATGAGATATTTAGCCAGGTGAACACCAGCTGTAGAATTTAATCTTATTTTTAACCAATGAGTTCTGGTTTTTCCAGGCAATTTTAGATGTCTGATGGATCCTAATATTTATCCTCTTTATTTTTCACTGTTAATACACAATAATGCCCATATAGTAAACATACATAAATATAATCTTCATATGATTTAAGATAATCAAACATTTTAAAAGTATGGTAGCTTCTAGACTTTTGGGGTTAGCAAACAGGAGTGTGCAGTGATGAGAAACATCATGAAGAATTCGCAGCTTTTACTTAACAGCTTGATGGAATTCACCGAAATCTTGAAACACACGAACAGGTCGGTTCTACTTTGTAGGCTTGGAAAATCAATTCCTTCTCTGGCTGTACAATATCCATTCTGATGGTTCCAGCATGGCTTCTCCCAGGCAAGCTGACATTGCTGGAGCCCAGACTTAGGATAACGGAGAGGAATGTTGACATCGTCACAACGTAAGTCACCAACGAAGTGCAACATGGTGTCCAACGGACTTTACTATACTAACGTCACATTCCTGACCTTCTTAGGACTGGCCATATAAAAGGTGACATGTGGGCGACTTGCTGAGCTGGGCTGATGGTGATCAGGCTCCTGGTAACAAAGGGAAAAGGGCTGATTTAATCGGTTGAGATCACTGTACAATACAGGCACACTTGACAAGAAAGCCACGCTCATCAGATTAGATCAAATGAAGGTGCAGAGAGAAACAAAAATGGTAACACACGTCCTTCCTTGAGTTAAGTCTTTTCAATAACACACACTCTAGAAGCTCCCAGTTTCAGGACCTAAAGAGCAATCCAACTCAAAAAACAAATGTTTGTACGAAGACAACTTACCTCAAAAAACTGTCTTTCAATTTTCCTATGGAAATTCTAGGTTTTTTAGGAAAATATAAAATATATCTAACCTCCTTTGATACCACACCTTCTTTCTAAAGGAGAGAGGTAAAACTGAAGCCCTGACTCCATCTGTCTCCCTGGCAGTGGGTGCTGCTGGCTCCCATCAGGAGTGCAGGTAGTCCTCGCCATCGCGTTCTGAAGTGTGACTGCAAACAGCCCATGTCCTCGGGAGGGGCCAAGTCCTGTTTAAGAGTATGGCCCCATTAAAATGCATGCAACACGCTTGCCTGCCAGTCCTGACAATGCCAGCTCAGATCCCAGGACACTGTGGCTGCACTTAACATCTGAAATAACGTAGCTGGGCACCATAAATGATTTATCTGGCCATAGAATGGCAGTAAGTCTCAAGGATAGGATCACTCTGGCTCCTGGTCTTAATGGATTGACTCCCAACCACACGGAGCTAGAGAGCTGATGGGATGCCCTCAGTAAAGTGCTGTAAGAATTGTGCTTCTGCTTATGGCTATGCCTGAGATTTTTGCTGCCACTTGCCCTTTGTTTTCACTGCCGAGTTGCACAAATGCATTACTGTTTTCCTACTTGGTCAAGAGTTTATTTCTGTAGATCTCAATAGAGGAGGGACTGTTGGGGAAGACTTGATCCCCAAAGTTTCAAGTTGTTCATATGCTCATCCCCCAAAACTGACAGACTCGGGAGAGAAAGAGACAGAAATGCCTAAAACAACCAGAAAAATATTAACGGACAGTGAATCGAGGCCTGGAAAGAAGAGAGGGAAAAGGGTGCTCTCTGTTTTAAATATTCATCGAGTTGCAAAACATTTACAAACCTCATGGCTTTATAAAAATAAAAATAAAAGATGCTTCTTTTCCCATCAACTGTAATTTTTTCATAGGAATTGCTAATTGCATTCATTAGCTTTGTCCTAATGCAGTTCATGAGCAGTTACACCTGAGTTAACTGTATTTCACCAACAGAAAGTCTTGTCTACAAAATAATGTCAGTGTTAGAGCAAAACTGTAGATTTGGCCATAACAGAAATAAGCAGTGAAGAAAAGGGTCGTTTTTGTATGTGTCCATTTTGAAAAGCAGTCTTTTTTTTCTTTTCTTTTCCTTCTGAAACTTCCTGCAATTTAATGCATGATCTGAGGTCTCTACAGAATTTGGTTCCTAAGGCCAATGGATAACTCCTATCCTTTAAAGGTTTAAGAAAGCCATGTCTAAAATCCCATTTCTTTCATTCATATTGAATGCGTGTGCCTTAGGACCCATCTAAACACAGGAGGTTTCTAAAAGTGTCCATTCCCCCGTGATGTGCATCGTGTCAAGACTCTTCCACTGGACACCGGTCACACCACCCCCAAGCATCTCAGATTCTCCTCTGTGCTTTTCAGCAAGCTCAGTGCTGTGGGGTTGTGCAGTACAAGCCATTCCAAACGCACAGTTGTAAGAAAACACCAAGACCTCCGAGATGACTTTCCCCCAGAATCAATGCTACACATGTGTGTTAGGTTCACATTGGACCACAAAATATTTTCCTCCAAGCGGATCACCTGGGACACGTGGGCAAAATGCCCACTCTTTGGCTGGATCTCCCAGAGATTCTGACCTAGAAAGTGTGGAAGAGGCTCGGGAGTTTGCATGTTAACTGGCACCCAAGGTGCTTCTCTGGACTGAGAACCACAGCCAAATGGGCAGAGAACCCAGGTAAACGTATTAATGGGTGCTGGATGCATCTCCACGTGCAGCAAGCATTCTTTGGGATCTGAGAGGCAAGAAACAGAACCCCCCATTTCTTCTGGTTGCTGGCAGGAACAAGGACCGCTCTGTCTCTCAGCCTCTGGAAAACATGCCATGTTCAGGGGAGACCCTGGCTGGGGAGTGGGCTGAGAGGTGAGGGTGAACAAAAGAGGGCGCCCCATGCAGCCAACAGGCACCTCTTCTTATGGTACATGATCCAGCGTCACCAGGTGCACCTGACCCACACCTGCCATCAACCCTCTGTAGCTTCTGACCATGGTGGCTGGCCTCCCATAGGGCAAACATCCAGCCCACAGCCTGTCCCCAACCACACTATCCCAGAGGCAAGCCCTCACCCCTTCTGAAGATTTATAAAGATCATCAGCATTGACAGCATCAGGAGATAACTAGGGATCTGAAAAAGGTTCCCACGAAGCTGCATCTTGACGGTCTCCATGGCAGCGTGGGCCTCCGGCATCCTGGACCTTAATCGAAAGGCTGTTGAAGGAGCAAGGTTACAGGGGGCTGGCACGGGAGGCTTCCTGCAGTATTGACATTTCAGTTTCCTGTTTTCATAACTGTTACGTGTAGGACGTAATGAAAACCATGTTTGGTGATGCACGATGAAAATGTGGCATGTAGGGGCTACAGTCTGGAGACAGAGACTCAGGCATGTAGGACTCTGGGGGGATAGGAAGTTGTGGCACTGGAGGCAAAGGTGAGAGTAACCAGGAACGCTGCTGCCCCCCAGAGCGCTGTGCTCAGCCCTGAGCTGGAAGTGGTCACATACTCAAGGGCTCAGTGTCTGCACCCCCCTCTACTTGTAGAGGGGTGCACATGATTGCAGCAAGAGTACAGGCACCATCAACCCCAGGGAGGGAACCAGTACATCCCCTCCCCAGGGTATTTAGCACAGGAGCCGTGAATGCCTGGAGAATTTTAGCAAATCGTAATTATCAGGCGGCGTGAAATTACAAAGTAGACAAGCTGATCTTGGGCAACGTCCCACTCTCCATTCCAGTGACACCCCGCCCCACTTCCATCTCATCATAAGGTAGCCAATAACCCTTAAACCTGCCATGTGTCAGAACCAGAACCACCTCAGGCTGTTCTGAACACAGTGCTCAGGCTGCCTGCCCAAGCCTATCGAGCCAGGAGGTCCGTAAGTGGCGACCAAAAATCCAAGCCTCCCAAAGGCCACTAAGATGAGTCCCATTTGCAACGCCCCGCCCGTCAGGCATCCCCTTCCTCACATCATGTTTAAACAGAGACCCTTGAAGAAAACCAAGCTGCCCAAGACCACAAAGGAGTGAAATGGCAAATGGACACAAAATCATTTGTTTCTTCAAGGACCCAAAACACAATGTTATTTCTATGTTGCATATTCGTCTATGCTGGTCTAATGATATTTCTTGCCATGACTGGGTTGGGATTATCAGCAAAGAGATCCTGTCTACATGCACGCATGCTCCTTGCATCACCTTGCTTGTGACAGCATGTCATTGGGCATTGAAGATATTCTCCACTTTAATGAATTCCTGTTTAATGAGCACCCAGTGATGCCGTGCTGACGGTGGGTCATCAATGGCCACCGGTTAGTTAAGACTGAAAATGCTGCGGGCTGGTAAGACCATCAGCGGGGGCAGAGGGTCTGGCCACCATGAAGACAGGACAAGCGCATACTCAGCAGTTGCTATACTGTTGACAAAACCAAGGTGGCTCTGCTCGGAGACCTAGTAACACGAAGCAGAAACTTTAGTTGCAGTTGCACACGCCTTGTCCCCACAGACAGGACACGTGTCTGACCCAACCCGCTCCGCAGGGACGAACACTGGGAAGCGTTTCTGCTGCAGTCTGACCCCGCCACTTGGGGTCTCTCAGTTTACTCCATGGGCTTTTCGGGACCTGATCCTAGCGTAGATTTTCTGCAAAATGGTATAATCTGTAGTCAACAACCCTGCGCTCTCACAAGCCAGCTTCTCGGGCAGGAGTGCTGGTAGGCGCCTCCCTGGGTCCACGAGGCCCACGGGCCTGAAAATGCCCCTGCAGCAGCAGTGCAGGTGACAAAGTGGCGAATTCAGTCCCACAGAGGCATTCAGAAAGGAGGCCAGGATGAAAGGACAGAGGAAGGGACTCTAAAGCGCTCTCAGCTGCCCTTCCTGGGCCCGTTAGGGAGCTGGGCTCATTGCAGACTGGAGAGACGGGAAGAGAAAAGCAAGCGCAGATGGCACTGTCCTTTCCCTGTGACCCTGAGTTCTGAGGAAGGTCCTCATCAGCCCGCACAGCAAGAACGTGGTCCCGCAGACCAGAGCCGCAAGGCCTGGCCTTGGAAGCTCTAAAAGGAACCTCTGTGCTAAGGTCACCTTGACTTGCTTCTACAAGCTGTGCCTTGGCCACCTGGCAGCTCTCAAGTGGCCGGTTGACCACATGCAGGACTATGTCCTCTTCGGGCTGAGGGCACAGAAGGAGCAACTATGCCCCTAGGCCTGACCCTCTCCTTGACTGCCCGTCTTGGTCCCTCCCTCCTGTAAGTGCTTTACGGGACGTGTAGCCCCCTGTACATCTCACCTCCACGTTCTCCAAACGGACAACCTGCAGGCAGTGTCTGGGCTCATACCTGCAAACTCACCCTCTGGTTAGTGATCAAAGATGGACCTCCTCAGAACCGTGCTTGTCCTAAGTAGACAAGCTCTACTTAGAAAAGTAGGAAAGTAGAAGAAAGTCTCTACTAGCAGAAACTCTCTAAGTAGAAAAGTCCAGCTATTTAAAATCCCTGTGTCCGTTTCTAGCCCAAGCAAAACAGTCCATCTTCTTTGCGTCCTATCTGCTCCTTGAAGACCCTGGCGCTCTGGGCCGAGATGCACAGCTCCCCTACGAGCCTTACAAACCCTTCAAGAAACACAGGTGTGTGTGTGCGCCACTGTTCTTTTTCCACCAATAGATTATTTAGCTGACTACATGTTTAAGTAGCAGAAACTTCTTAGATTTCTCTCCCTGTGTATTTTCAAAACAACTTCAAGCTTAAGAAACGACTACTGAGAGCTCCGAAACATCACTCTCCATTCCTGCACCCAAATGCATCTAGAGTTCCCCTTTTTCCTCATTTATACTTCAAGGGGAATCGTCTGACAGAAGACTTGCCTCCCTGCCTACCCCATCCTCCCCACCCCAGATCTCAGCACTTTGGCTTGTCTCGCGGAAAAGGTAACCACAGGAAAACCATGAAACAATGCGGACTGTAAATGTGTTCTTGGGTGACCATGCTTGGCACTGGGTGGGAGAGCCCTTCATCAGCCCATGAACCCCATCGTCAAGCATCATTCTTCACAACCTGGTGATAACTCCCTCTCGCCAGCCACTTCTTTGTCAAGAGACTGGTCCTTTGAAAGGGAACGTCTTGCATCTCTACAATCACCCCTCCCAGCATCAGATTACAGGCATCAGAAGACATATGTGCCCAGGAGAGCAGCCTTGATGGGAAGACATCTACCTCTCCATTTTCCTGACACCCGCCTAAGGAAGTAGATTAAACTCGGGCCAGGGACACACACTTTGTTACACAGGCCCATCCTCTTTTGTGCCGCAGGCTCTTCATATGTCTTCCCGCCTGGCTACCTTGGTTGCCACTAATAGCATCACTCAGGTCCTCCTGATACATGGTTGAGAAACCTCAAGGCTCCCTGTCCCCCCAAGGCCTGGGAGGCACACAGTGTTGGCAAGATGTATGGGTTGAGCTGAATCCCAACTGCAGGGAGGACATTACAGCCTCGAGCTGCCCGGAAACTCAAGTGAGTATCTACACAGAGAGAGAGTGAAGGGACGGGGGAGGCACACTGTCCGCAGCAGGACCTCAGGCAAATGGCGACCCCTGGGCACAGCAAAGCCAAGGCCATCAAAGCTGACTCAATCTGTGAGCCTGGCTTTTCCAAAAGCTAAAAGGGGAGAACATCCATTCTTATGGGGGACACCATCGCACAATCACAAAAACAAGTCCTTCTCATTTGAGGTCGGATTTGTACAGGTCAGAAAGTGGTGCTGATTATATATATATTGCTTAATATGATTTAGGATATAAAGAATCATATTTTCTGCATATAAACTCTAATTCATTCACGTGTGACAACCAATGCTGACTCTGCCCAAAAAGAAATTAACATGCTGTGTCCTCAGGGTTCCTAACTGACTGTTTTCTTTAAGTTCATGCCATTTGGAAGGACCGCGCCCATCAGAATTTGCTAACAATCAGCCATATCTACAACTCCTGCCCCACCCGGGAACTCCAGGCTTGTCCACCCTACTGCACTCTTGACATCTCTCTGAGGTCATCCCACAGCTACATCAAGATCTACAAGCGCCAATGAAACTTCTGCTCTTCCCCAAAAACCTGCTACAACGGGCAAGAGATACCACATGTCCTTGTCCGTTCCCTCTAGGCTCACCGGTTGACACAGAGGTGACACAGGCCACGTTCTTCCATCATCCACACAAAGCGAGCAATGTTTTATAATCACCCACCACAAGGCAAGGGTTTTTAAATAGCCAGAAAAAAGTTTACAAAGAGGAAAGTGGCCTAACTCACCTGACGAGGTTGCCCACTGCTGTGTTTTTCTGGAACACTGGGTTCATAAGACTTTGGAGGGAGAGAAGCCGCCTCTGCAATAGAAGAATGATTTTAGAGTGACATGTGACAAAAACCAAGCGACACAGTCCAATTCTGACTTATAAAGAAATGCATTTGCTTTTATGTAGTGCAAACATAAAATTTGCACAAACATAAAATTTGATTATTTTATGTTTGTGCAAATTTATGTTTATACTACATAAAATAATCCTTAGCAATAAACGGATTGTTTTAAAGTTTCCTTGAGGTTGCATATTTTTAGAATTTTAGTTTTCTAGATGAAATAAAAACATGGCGCACTGACTCAATATCAATTCCTTTCTTGACTTGTGAGTCTCATGTAGAGACAAGATGAAGCCACAGCTTTAAGGGCTGACCAAGGCGAAGACACGCAGGGCGAGGGGGGAGGGGTAGCCAGAGGAGTGTGGTCTAGGCCAGGATTCTGCTCAAGACACTTGATTAATTACTCAACACGCTAATGAATAAATATTGGCTCACGAGAAATTTTGCAAGAAGCTGAGAGCACATTACCACAGGGAACAATAGTCAATGCTTTGTGGGATTCTTGAAAACCCAAAGCATGCAATTTACAATGTCCATGGGAGACAGCCATAGCAAAACGGGAAGGATGGGGCTGCTGAGAATTAAGTTCTAATTTTAGTGGGGGAAAAAAACATGTTTTCACGCCTCTCAGTAAGAATTGATTAACTAAAAATCTTTCTGTCGAATTTGTTTTGCGAGGCAACTTGTTAAAGCCAGGTCTCCCTCCCCGGCTGCTAAGGAGTAATTTGTATTCATACAGCCTTTCTCCCTCGTCTGCCTGCCTGCCTTACAAAAGGATCTCGGTTCAAATCCTATCCCTGCTGCTTACTAGTGACTGCCTGCGAGAACCGCCCCCTCCACCCCCAATTAGGACTGTATCCTCTCAAGGTGAGACGTGTAGATGCTACAAAAAGGCTTTTCAAAATTGGGTTTAGTCTTTCAACACCCTCCCCCAGTCCGTGAAGTTGAATAGGAACATATTTCTGTGCTGAGCTGACTCGAATCTAGTTGAAGTTCTGGGGAAGTTCCCCTCAACATGTGAAAGCGCCTCCTCACACACGTTAAGGCAGAAGGCTTTAAAGAAAGAGAAAGCGTGAAAACATTTTGTTTTTAAAAACACAAATTTCCACATCATTTTATTTTAAACTTTAGACAAATAGATGGATTTGTACTGCTAATCTAATCCTAGAATATTTCTAGGTCTGGAATTTCTCCTTCTTCTAAAAGTGACACACACCCCACCACCCCCACCCCCCACCCCCCGCTGCCAAATCATGACCACCAACAGCTAAGTCACCTGCCTTGCGAAGCTGGTGTTTGGTTAGCCAGCCCTTCTCCCCAAAATTCTCCCTTCGAGGTCTTTCTACTGCCCCACCTGTCCAATCACTTATGGTCTTTGGCTCATCTGAACTGTATCCATAGTTTTCATTTCCGCTTTTTAACTTTGTCTCAAAAGTTTCTTTGTTGGTGTTCACATTTGCAGATTTCCTAGAATTAGACCATTTAAAAAAAGACAAACCACATGTTAATCAACAATGGCTGTTTACTTCACACTGCTCCACCCAGAGCATGCTTACACGCTGAACTTAGCACAGGCCACAGTTCCGTCACTGGCTTCTGGAGGATTCTAAGCATCGCGATGGACACGCCCAGCCACCTGCACAGCTGTGGAGACGGCCTGTGTGCGCACACGCCCACTAGCGGCAGGTGTGGAACTTGATCGTGATAGGTCCGTGGACTCCACAACCCAGTCAGTACTCAACCCTCAGAAACCAATAAAGCAGGGTCCGCAGGCTCCAGCCCACAGGCCACATCCCGCCCACCACCTGTCTTTATAAACAAAGCTTTATTGGAACACAGCCACACCTGTCTGCTTCCCTGTTGTCTATGGCTGCTTTCACGTTACAGAAGCAGAGGTGAGAAGCAAAATATTCACTATCTGGCCCTTTATGGAAAAAGTATGACAACCTCTAAAATAAAGCAAAACTTGCTGTAGCTTCCCAGGGACAGGAAGTTTGGCCATGCATATCCAAAGATTTTTAAATATTCATCCTTGACTACTAAGAATTTATTACAGGGGGATAAAAGGGTATGTGCAAAGAATTACTTGAAAGAGTGTTCATTCATGAACTATTTACAATAGCAGAAACTGCAAACAGCCCAAGTGCCCAGCCATAGGGGACTAGTAAAATAAATGACAATATATCTCTACAGTGGCATTCCATGCCACCTGCAAAAATTGTCATGAACGAGAATTCTCGTGCACTGCTGGAGAAGTGGAAACTGGTACACCTACTGTGGAAACGGTGTGGCAATATCGTATAAAGCTTAGCGTATACCTACCTATGAGCCAGACTTCACTGATAGATGTATACCCAACAGAACACACGGCACACATCACCAAAAGACAGATACTCAGTGCAGCAGAATTCAGCATGGCCCCAACATCAAAACTATCCAAATGCCCAGTGAAAGTAAAATGGAAACATAAATTGCATATGTGCCCCAAATGTGGTACAGTAAAACCTTGGATTGCGAGTAACGTGGTTGGCGAGCGTTCCGCAAGACGAGCAAACATTTCTAATACATTTTAACATGGTAAACGAGCGATGTCTTGCAATACGAGTAGTTTGTTCCTGGAATGAATTATGCTCACAAACCAAGGTATCACTGTATTATATGATAATAACCTATCTGCACTACAGCCAACAGTCAGGGTCCTTCTGACAGTGGGGTCAGGAAAGCCATGAATGACTATGCACAATATGATTCCATTTATATAAAGTTTATATGAATCCAGTCTCTGGGGATGTGGGGACAGATTCAGCGGTGCGACCTTTGAAGGAGGGGCAAGCAGTGATCTGATGGGGGCCTAAGGGGCTTTTTGGGGTGCTTGGGTGTTCTAGTTCTGCAAGTGGACAGTCAAGGCCCAGGCACAGAAGCTTTGTGAAAATTAATCGAGCTATACACTTACGATTTGTGTCCTTTTCTGCATTTAGGTTATATTACAATAAGATGCTGCATGAAGCAAAAGAAACACAAATAGTGTAGGCCGGGATTTGGTACCAGAAATGATCTTCAGAATAATGCCAAGGAAGGAGAACAAGCTATAAACTAATATTTATTATAACAGGAATTTCACAAAATGCGTATGTGTATGTGTGTCTATGTGAACACATGTGCGTGTAAGTGCATACATACTTAAATAACAATAATTACTTCTGGACAACAGAATTATAGGTAATTTTAAAAACATTTCTTATACCTATCTTTATTTTTAATTTTTTTTCTGTAATAAACAAGTATTGCTTCTATAGGAAAAAAAATTTTTTTCTGTGAAGTCTGCGGGCAGCTGGAGTTAGCACTGTTGACCCAGGGGGAAGGGAAGCAGGTAGGATACGGGGGTCCCTGGGACCCTCCTGTCTTTCCTCCCCGCCTAACACACTCAGGTCTAAGGGCGGACGCTAAAATCAGCGGAGGCCCAGGCCCTGAGCAGGGCAGCCTCATTCACGTTCCGACCTGTCAGCCCCTCTCTAGATGGGAGATGTTGGGCACACTGCTGAACCTCTCTGTACCCCTCAGTTTCCTCATCTACAAGCTGAAAACCAGCCTCATCAAATCACTGTGAGAAGTAAGTGAGATGAAACCTCCACCGAGTGTAAGACAGCACGTGGCGTGCATGTCAGGGGCTCGGCGTATGCTACTATCATCGCTCCTGTTCTCGTGATTGTTATTGCTGCTGGCATTATTATTACTATTCCCTACCCTTTGCCCTGCCTAGCTGTTGAACCCACTGCCCTAGGTATGAAAATCACCTAAAACCCCAGAGAATAGACATGAACAATGTTACACAGTAACGGTGAATGGAAAAGTTCACGCTGCCATCCTGCTGGGGCAGGACAGCCACCTAGAGAAATGCCAGCACAATTATCGGGGACCAGATTCCTTCTGCTCCTCTTGCTCTAAGTCACGCCCCAAAGGGGGTGTGCTTTCAGATTACCGCTTTGCGGTATCCTCAGAGAGGGCGGCCGCCTCTCTCCAAGCAGTATCACTGGAGTCAGAGGGACAGTGGGAGCATCTTTACACAATAACTGCACTCATTTTAACGCCCTACATGCAGCCCAAAGATATTTTAAATTCACAGTGTTTCAAAAATGAAAACTAACAAAATACTGGCCTCTAGATGTGGTTTTGTTATAACACCCCCAGAAATCCACTGCTGAGTGAAAAATCCCTTCCCTTAGTACATTTATAGTTATGTGAATATTGCAGACATTTAAGCTGTTCCTTGTATTATTGTAATCCTTGACACACTAGCCTTGCAAGTGCTGGCAGCTACTCCTGGATGCCTGTGGGAATGGCAGCGATGTGTCAGTCCCCTCCCCTCTCACACATAAGAGCAGGGAACGCTACCTAATTTGTCTTCCTGGTCCGTTTCATGTGCCTTAAGCCATCTTGTTGGTCTCCTGTTTTCTACCACCCCAGAAATTCTAGCAAATTCTGCCTGGCTCTTCAGTATCCTTGAAATGGCCCCTGAGTTCCTAGCCTTGATTCAAAAGAGGAGGGACAATAGTCGCGGTGCATAGTGTCCTCTTGTGGAAAAAGTTGCAAATGCCAGACACCAACTAGAAAATCTCCATTTTCCTAAGTGAGCTGGGGCAAGTCAAACGTAGACGGTAGCAGCCCACACGCTACATTCTACAGTTAGCGTTGCCATATGAGTTTGTGATTGGCATATGTGTTTTTAGAGCTGTCCATTTTCCATACTTAATTTTGAGTAACATAATCCTAAAATCTCAGTTATGTGTGGTGTGTATGTGTGTGCGTGCATGCGTGTGTGTGTGTTGGTGTTATTTTCATTTGTTTGCTTTTGTTTTCAGAAAAATGATGTGATTTCAAACTTACCTTATTTCACTTTGATAATCAGATTCTACAAAAAGAAGTAAAGAATAAAATCACATTAGCAAAATCAGGACAGTTATTCTGAAAATAAAATCTCATCAGTTTTTCTAGATCCCCTGATTTTAATACATTACTGAATATTGGTGATCTGGTAGATATCATTAGGTTGCCTCGCAGAGAATTATCAAATGACTCCCAAGCATAAGAAAAGTAGAATTCATTATTCACTATCATACATATAAACAACCCCTGGGTGCCTGAAATATGTAGGTACCTAATAAGCACTTAGTGAATATTGAATTTGACTAGCACGATTAGAAAGACACCATTCACCATGAAGGGGTGCTCTGTGTCCCCACCCCTGGTGTCATTCGCTCAGCAGTTACCATGTGCTGGCCTCATGCCAGTGCCGTGCAAGGTATTATCTCATTTAATTGTTACAACAACCCAAGAGGTAGGTGTTAGCATTACCGTATTTTTAACACATAAGGAATTACACGGTTAAGCACTGTACTTCTTTAATTCTAAGATACATTTTCAACCAGTATGCACCAATAGTATCAATTCATACAGCTGTGTTCACCCCCAAAGGCTACCATTAAATTGCCATGTTTCCAGTCAAGGGGTTCTTAAACTGGAAGAAATACAGAACTTGAAAATGAAGGGGTGGGCCGGCCGAGTGGCGCGATGGTTGAGAACTGGCTTGGGACGCCAGAGGGCCCCGGTTCGGATCCCACATATGAGGGCCAGTGACACTGCCCTC